GAGAAAGAACCATCAACTATAACCCCAAAAGAACCCGATTTCGTAAACAACATAGAGGAAGAATGAAAGGAATATCTTATCGAGGTAATCGTATTTGTTTCGGTAAATATGCTCTTCAGGCACTTGAACCCGCTTGGATCACATCTAGACAAATAGAAGCAGGGCGACGAGCAATGACAAGAAATGTGCGCCGTGGTGGAAAAATATGGGTACGTATATTTCCAGACAAACCAGTTACAGTAAGACCTACGGAAACACGTATGGGTTCGGGTAAAGGATCTCCCGAATATTGGGTAGCTGTCGTTAAACCAGGTAGAATACTTTATGAAATGGGGGGAGTAGCAGAAAATATAGCCAGAAAGGCTATTTCAATAGCGGCGTCCAAAATGCCTATACGAACTCAATTTATGATTTCGGGATAGGAACGTAGAACCAAAGGAAAGAAGTCTTGGGGATAAAAAAACAATTGCAGGTTTCTTTTTGACAAACAATATTTCTTTTTTTTTTTACTTCGCCCTTTGCATTAACATTGAAAGAACAGATTAAAAAATGATATGATTCAACCTCAAAGCCATTTGAATGTAGCGGATAACAGCGGGGCCCGAGAATTAATGTGTATTAGAATCATAGGAGCTAGTAATCGCCGATATGCTCATATCGGTGACATTATTGTTGCTGTGATCAAGGAAGCATTACCAAACACACCTCTAGAAAGATCAGAAGTGATCAGAGCTGTAATTGTACGTACTTGTAAAGAACTTAAACGTGACAACGGTATGATAATACGATATGATGATAATGCTGCAGTTGTGATTGATCAAGAAGGAAATCCAAAAGGAACTCGAGTTTTTGGTGCGATTGCCCGAGAATTGAGACAGTTAAATTTCACTAAAATAGTTTCATTAGCACCTGAGGTATTATAAGATGAGATTATACGTAATATAGTTCTATTATACATAGTATTTGGATGAAATAGATTAATTAGTGGATTAGGTTGTATCTGACGCATATCCCTTTATTTAATAAATAAAATATAAAAATAAATAAAAAATAGCATGTTGATTATATCAAAAATGGGAGGCAACCCAAAATTTAGTTTATCATGGGTAGGGATACTATTGCTGACATAATAACCTCTATACGAAATGCTGACATGAATAGAAAAGGGACGATTCAAATAGCATCCACTAACATCACGGAAAACATTGTTAAAATACTTTTAAGAGAAGGTTTTATCAAAAACGTGAGGAAGCATCAGGAAAACAACAAATATTTTTTGGTTTTAACCCTACGACATAGAAGGAATAGGAAAGGACCCTATCGAACTATTTTAAATTTAAAACGTATCAGTAGGCCTGGCCTACGAATCTATTCGAACTATCAACGAATTCCTAGAATTTTAGGCGGGATGGGGATTGTAATTCTTTCGACTTCTCGAGGTATAATGACAGACCGAGAGGCTCGACTCGAAAGAATCGGCGGAGAAATTTTGTGTTATATATGGTAATCTTTCTGATATCCGAATTGGATCCGGAATTTCCTATTTGTCAAAAGAAAAAAGGGTGGGTTAGTTGATATCATTCCTACTACATTAGGTGATACTTCTAGGGCTTTTACCTAGAATGAAAGAACAAAAAAATGGATTCATGAAGGTTTCATTAATGAATCACTTCTCCTTCTAAATGGTATGTATGCTCGGGGTTTTTCGATAATGAAGATCTAATTCTAGGTTATGGTTCATGAAGGATCCGACGGAGTTTTATACGTATACGATGGGGGGAGAGGGGCAAAATTGAAGTAAGTCATTATGATTCAACCAGAGGGCGTATAATTTATAGATGCCACAACAAGGATTCGAATGATTAGGTTGTTTTTTCAACTTCAGCATTCCCTTCATGGGGATACAATTTGAGGTTCAACATTTCAAGAAACTTATTTTCTTCCAATAAATAGAGTCAGAATTAAGTTAAGGAACGACAACTATGAAAATAAGGGCCTCCGTTCGTAAAATTTGTGAAAAATGTCGACTGATCCGTAGGAGGGGACGAATTATAGTAATTTGTTCTAATCCGAGACATAAACAAAGACAAGGATAATCTTTTGAAAAGGGGCTCTCTAACGTAAAGGACCCAATGAAAAAAATAGGATCTGTTTTGACATGAAATGGATATATCCATATATCTCGAATTTCTATTTATGAGATGATAAAGTATGGCAAAATCTAGACCAAGAACTGGTTCACGTACGAATGCCCGTAGTGGTTCACGTAAAAGTACACGTAGAATACCAAAGGGAGTTATTCATGTTCAAGCAAGTTTCAACAATACCATTGTGACTGTTACAGATGTACGGGGTCGGGTAATTTCTTGGTCCTCCGCCGGTACTTGTGGATTCAATGGTACAAGAAGGGGGACGCCATTTGCTGCTCAAACCGCAGCAGGAAATGCTATTCGGACAGTAGTAGATCAAGGTATGCAACGAGCAGAAGTCATGATAAAAG